GGGACAATTGGCAGGGTCTGGAAGAGGCATATTGCTTGTTATGGTAAGTGCCACTTCTGTAAAATTGCAGAACTGGACACGAATGGGGGGCACCATCTTATCACAAATGCGTATCTCCTTGGCAAGAGCAGGTCGTCGGTGTAATTCAGCGACCTCTGGTAGCCGAAGGACGCCTCGTAGTTGTGTGGTGCGAGCAACCTGATGCATGTGCATAACCTTAATAAAATTTAAAAATTGAGCCCCATTATGTCCTGGGCTGAGATACGGTTGGCGTGAATATTGCAGACCACGGATCATGCATTCCAGTTGACGAATGTTCGATGTGAACTCAGAGTTGGAGACATTCGTTAACAACCATTGCAACAAGCGAGATAGCCAGGCAGAGCTGGCTTGAGAGAGGGCACGAGATATGGATTCTCATTCCGAGTTGGCTGCCTGTGTGAGCATGCGATGCAGGGCTGAGCGCACAACAAAGAAGGGACCCGGGGCAGTGTCAATCGTGAAGGGCCTATCAGTAGAAGTTTGCTTTGCAGGGCGGGTAGCAGGACTATTCGGGTGGCCTCTCGTACAAATCCACCTGTTCGGACGACGAGATCGTCTGACTGGCGGTAATCGCCCTTGTGGGAGGATGTTGTTAAAGCCCCGAGGATATAACGTGGACAGGCGTCGGACCCAAAACCCTTCACGAGGAGCAGCAGCATGTTTTAATGATTTTGGATCAATGAAACCATCAACATTCAGATAGAGATGTAGATCAATAAACTCCAGGGGCCAGACAACAAAATGAAATGGAGGTTGCTTGGCCATGGAGTAATAGAGGTAACGATGGCGTGAGTGTGTCATTTGAGATGAATGGCGGGAGTGTCAGTGCTGCTGTAAACGATAGTGAGCGGAATATGTTGTTTGCCCAACATATGTGCGGCCAGACGGTATGTGAACAATAGCATAAATAACCCCAGGGGTTGATAGAGCATCCATTCCTGGTTGAATGGGGCTCTGATCAATGCCTCGTAATTGCAGTTCAAATTGTTCCACGCGGGCCGCTGCTGCTATATAGCGGAGCCGCTTCTTAAACCAGCGACCTGCGTCATAGAGACCAGTATTCCATTCATGATGTGCAACCCAGTCACTTCTATTAGGCTGTCGCGCATAGCGGTGACGGGAGGAGGAGTGAGGGGGGTTAGCACAGGGAGGATCGCAAGAAGGATATGTGGTTCGTGCCGTGCCACCGGCACAGGGATCCCCGTTCAAATCCCTTTCCTGATTCTCACGTTGCGTTCCTTACATCATAGGGTGAAGTATTTCTCAAATTTCGGAAATTTTACTCTCTAAAGTGGAACAAGTTTATAAAACCTGGTAGAGGAGGAAAAGAAAGTAGTCAAAAGGCAACCCCATAGTCCAGGGTTTTAGGCCCGTCGGCTTAGCTCGGGGAGGCTGCGGACGTCCCTTGCAGGAGGTACTCGCCACAAAGTTGTCCAAGTGATGGGTCGGCTAGTATGTAGAACGCCTCCACCTGTGAGTGTGCTCTGGGCAACCGTCCCAGACGCCGGGCACAGCAGGACTAGCTATTCTGTTCGGAGGAGGTGTCCGATCATCACCCGAAACTTTGTGTACAAGGTTTATGTCAGGGAAAACGTCCAGCAAGGGTGAGATGAGTAGGAGTACTCCGCACCTAAGTTTCGCACACCTTGGGTGGGGAGCTAACTATACTCACTGCGCGGAAGAAAAGGGCAAGAAAGCGCGCCCTTACGGTGACTGCCACCACAGGACATGGGTTCCTGAAGCAAAACCAGAGGGTCAGTCACATGGACAAGGCAAAGGCCAAAATGTTAGTACAAGTCAGGTCAGTTTCAAAACATAACAACGAAATCATAGCACCAGGTGAGACAGACGTCGGACCCAAGGCAGACTCACATTTATGGATGAGAGACATATCGCTGTAGCAAAACAGTTCAATCGACTATAATATAAGAAGCCCTTGTATTTGTCCGGGCCAAGCATGTTGAATAAATCCGAAATTTTGCAATGATCACAGACCTCATGATACACATCCAACTTACAACAAAGTATAACCTGCTAGTACAGGTCCGATCCTAGCCGCTCAATCCACAAGAGCAGAGAGCTAGCAAGACCGGGACGTGTGTTATAAGCTTCCCCCACAACAACCCCTATTCCAACCAAATGAGTAGAACCGGACTGAGTCCGCCCAAA